TGGCCGCTGAGCCTGCGCGTCCGGAGCCTGTTGCTCCGCAACGGGAGAGGCCACAACAGTGAGAGGCCCGCGTACCGCAAAAAAAAAAAAAAAAGACACCCTGAATATCCTATTGGTGAATCTGCGGCTTCTCTGCCGACGGGCCATGGAGCTGCCATGGCTTCCAGCGACCAGATGCTCTAAGTCTGCCCCACCCCTCCCAACCAGAGGGATGTTCCGTGCACACGCATTTGGCCATCTGACAAACACGTATGAGCTGCTTTTTACTCTCATTATCTCCTCAAGTCATACACATCCATCACTGCCCACTGTCCCTAGACACAAAGCGGCATTCCTAGAGGGAGGACGAGTTTTCATTACAAGAGGTCGCCACACCTCATTATACGGGGCTCATGAAAAGCGTTTCCTGCTCAACATGGAGCAGCTCTGGACCTGTGAGAACCCACCTCCTGCTTTCATCAGGAGAGCTCAGCTTGGAAATGCCAGGGCGGTTAGGTAGACAGGAGGGCTCTACAGATTTCTGTGAGCCTTTGGACTTGCCTGGGTCACTGAAAAACCATTAGCAAGGTCACCTCTCAGACAACACTGGCACCAGCCCCCCATCTCCTTGGCAAGCCCCATCCTGTAAGTATGCAAGCATAAAATTACCCAATTTGTACCCCAGAGATCCCCTCTGCATTCTTTCAGGCTGTGAGGACCTCCCCAAATCAGGGTTTTTTTTTAGTTTATTTTATTGAATAATTGATTTACAATATTGTGGTAATTTCTGCTATACAGCAAAGTGATTCAGTTATACATATACATACATTCTTTTCTTTTTTCATATTCTTTTCCATCATGGTTTATCACAGGATATTGAATATAGTTCCCTATGTTATGCAGTAGGACCTTGTTTATCCATCCTATGTATAACAGTTTGCATCTGCTAATCCCAAACTCCCCCACCGCCCTCCCCCTTGGCAACCAGAAGTCTGTTCTCTACGTCTGTGAGTCTGTTTCTGTTTCATAGGTAAGTTCATCTGTGCCATATTTTAGATTCTACACATAAGTGATCAAAACCAGTTTTATAGAAGGGTTTACCAGCTCCCAAGGTCCAGTACAGATCCAAAGGTATTAAAATCCACACCCTCCACTCCATGGCACTCTGTGAAGACATTTCAAGTCACCTTCAGGTGATTGTCTTGACAAAATCCGAGGTTTTGTGCACTGCCATGGGTACACCATTGGCTCAAATCTAGAAGCTAGGGATCCTGTACTGCTTTTTCCACCCGCTGGCTGTTTGGGCACAGATCGTTCCCTCTCTGTGTCTCAGACTCCTCAACTGTAACAGGAAGGAGCTTATGCCCTATTTCAGAGGCATTTGATGAGCACGGCAGAGGCTGTGCTAGGCCCTGGGGATACAGATATGGGAAGACAGGTGCCTGACCTCGAGGAGACTAGAGCGTGAGCTGGCTCCGGCACAGGCAGCACTTTACATGCTAGACTCGGTGTGATCAGTGCTGAGCACGTCGCACGAATGACCTCATCTCCCTCAGCAACCCTACGAAGGAGGCTTGACTACCCCATTTTACCTATGGGGAAACTGAAGTTTAGAGAGAGTAAGTGGCTCATCCAACAGTGTCACATACACAGCAACTAAGAGGCAAAGCCAGGACTCAGTGCCAGGCAGGCTGAATTCAGTGACCCCCCAATCTTCAACACTTGAAGGGCCTCTCAGTCAGGTACGGCTTCCCGGAGAAGGCTCATCCTGTGATTCCCTTGCCACCTTTCAGCAAGTCTGTGAGTGGAGGCCCCTGGCAGCTTTGTAAGGTCTGACACTTATGTGCTCTGCTGTTTTCTTAGCCTCTCTGGACCTCAGCTTTCCCAGAAGCAGCTCAGAATGTCCAATATAGGAGAAGCCTCAGAAGCCATCAGGGCAAATTACTTCATTCTTAGAGATGGGGAAAACAGAGGCAGGAACATTGGAATGTCTTGGTCAAATTCTCCCCAAGAATGAGCAACAGAGCCCAGTCACGATCTCAAGCCAAGTCAGGAGTCCAACCTCACGGTCACATTCTTCTCCACTACACATCTCAGGCTTTGCATTATCTTTTTTTTTTTAAAGATTGATTGATTGATTGATTGATTTTTGGCTGCATCGGGTCTTAGTTGCGGCGCGTAGGATCTTCGTTGAGACGCTCGGACTTCTCTCTAGCTGTGGCGGCGGGTTTTCTCCTCCTCTAGTTGTGGCACACTGGCTCCAGGGCGCGTGGGCTCTGTAGTTGTGGCACGCAGGCTTAGTTGCCCCCCGGCATGTGGGATCCTAGTTCCCTGACCAGGGATCAAACCCCAGTGCCCCGCATTGGAAGGCGGATTCTCTACCACTGGACCACCAGGGAAGTCCTCGTATTATTATTATATTTTTTGGCTGCATTGCGTCTTTGTCACTGCTCGCAGGCTTTCTCTAGTTGTGGTGCGCACGCTTCTCGTTGTGGTGGCTTCTCTTGTTGCAGAGCATGGGCTCTAGGCACACGGGCTTCAGTAGTTGTGGCGCACGGGTTTAGTTGCTCTGAGGCATGTGGCATCTTCCCGGACCAAGGCTCGAACCCGTGTGCCCTGCGCTTGGCAGACGGATTCTTAACCACTGCGCCACCAGGGAAGCCCTCCCCGTGTTATCTTTTAGTGCAGGAGGAAATTAGGGCCTAGGTGAAGGAACCAGCTTAACCAAAGTCTCCCAACCAGAAAGTAGCAAAGTGAAGACTGGAAACCATTTATTGTTGGCAGGAACATGGAAACCAGGTGAGAGCGTGGCGTTTGGAATTGGGTGTGGACCTTCCTAGCTCTGGGAGCTTAGGCAATTGACCTGACACCTGCAAATGGGAACAATTACAACGGCACCCTCATCAGACTAAGTGACACACACAATGGGTTGAGCACAGTGCCTGACATACAGCAACCCTTACAAATATCTACTGAACAGCTACTATTCCAAGTGCTTTTATCCTTCTTTACAACCTACTGGGTAGGTCTTATTTTTTATTTTTTTGCGGTATGCGGGCCTCTCACTGCTGTGGCCTCCCCCGTTGCAGAGCACAGGCTCCGGACGCGCAGGCCCAGCGGCCATAGCCCACGGGCCCAGCCGCTCCGCGGCACGCGGGATCCTCCCGGACCGGGGCACGAACCCGCGTCCCCCGCATCAGCAGGCGGACTCCCAACCACTGCGCCACCAGGGAAGCCCTTTTCAGATGAGCGTGTTATAGTAAGTCACTCGCCCCAATTGCTCAGCTTTAACTGGTGAGGGCAGGATTCAAACCCGTGCAGTCCGGCTCCAGACGTCCAACAGTCTTCTCTGCCAAGCTCTTCTGCCTGCACCCCCTTTGAGTGTTGTCGTAAAACAAGCCTCAGGAAGGCACAGTAGGCATTCTTTCCATCATATAACAAGGTTGTCCTTCGAAACGAAGCCATGGGGGTGAGCAGGGAAAGAAGCCATGGTGGGTGGGTGATTCAGTGCAGGGAGACCAGAAGCTGCATCTCGGGGCTGACGGAGGACTGAATATAACCGAGCAGGACCCTATGGGGCCTTCCGGGGACAGACCCCTCCCCCCATGTCCTCTGCTTTAGCTCCTCCCTGAAGTACCTAGATAATGGTATCTGATGCACATTTCCTGAGTTTATCCGATGCTAAACCACCACCAAATGGAAGAAATTAACTACTTGATGACCATGAGCACGTAGCCCCCAGACCTACTGGTGCCTAAGGATTGGTAACGTTAACCCCTGTGACACCGCCCTGTTACCTCACCATGAACCAATCAAAGAACTGTGCACGCACATACCCTAGGATGCCCCTCCCTCACCTGGCCTTTAAAAAGGCCTTGCTGAAACCCGTATGGGAGTTGGGGGATTTTGAGCGTGGGCCACCTGTTCTTGTACTGGCACCTTACCATAAAGCTTCACTTTATTGAAAGACCAGCTTGGGTGTAAGGGAAGTTTCAACCCAGGCACAAGGTTAGTTTCAAAGGCTAGGTAATAAATCTATCTTGCTGTATTTTCTCTTTTCGCACAGAAGCTGGTAATCTAGGACCTATGTGTGAACAACTTTATATATGAATATTTTTGGTACTTGGTTTACTTGGGCTGGTAGGATACATTATATTTAAGTTCCTTGAATACTGTAGATATCCCCCTAATGTGTATGAATGACCGAGGCTTTGTAAATTAGGGACGTTTGTGTGAATAAAGTTATTTGATGGGGTCAAAGAAGCCAGATGTGACTGGAAAAAATAGCTCTTTTTTTGGCTTTATTGGCTTGACTGCACGCGGGCAAGCAGACCCAAGTTTGGTTCAGTAACATGAATGCATCTCTGCCCGGGGGTCTCAGCAGCCCAGAAGGCCAGTGAGGGAAGGCCTGGCTCCTCATTCTGTAATCTACCACTGGATGAACCTGCTCTCAAAAGAGCGAGTTGGGTGACCAACACGGCCAGCGCCTGCGAGGGCCCCGCTTTTTCAGATCCCACAGAAGCAAGTGTTACTGGAATGGAAGGGCTGTGTCCAGCCTGGACCCCAGCGCAGAGGCAGGCGGGGTTAGGAGGGGTCTGTACCCTTCACCGTAAGTGACAGCTGTGTGCTCTGAAGCCACAGGACCAGTGTCATTTAGAGCAACAGAGCTTGTCCACGCCATTGCATTATTTTTCTTCCTCCTGGTGGTTTTTCCCATCTTTGGAGCTGGATTATGTTACAGCTGATCTTCCAGCTTATTCCATTCTCGTGGCTGATTTGCTTGGCTTTCGCTCAGCCGTGTGCTTTAGAGAACTGACAGAGATCTAGAGGAAGGTTTAGAGAACTGACAG